AGTCCTCCACTGAAGAGCTGAAATCTAGTCCCAGGAGCACTGGCAATTTTCAGCAGAAAAAATTTGTCACTTATATTAGGTTTGTTCAAGAGCCATGTGACCACCAGTATATACATTTACTGAGTTCTGCACAGTCATTCAAGATTAGACAACCCCATTTGTTTCTTTTTGGCAAAAAGATGCTGCACATTAATGCTCAGAAGAAGATGGAAAAGAGAAATTTATTTATATACCATGTCATTTTGAATGCATTTTAAAGGAAGCTCCTGCTTCCAACCATGGAAATACATTGTTGTAAAAGAGACCTCAATATTAAAAAAAAAAAAAAAAAAAAAAGGATGAAAAAAAAAAAAAAAAAAAAAAAAAAAAACCCCGGTGTTAAAAGATGAAAAAAAAAAAAAAAAAAAAAGAAAAATCACCTGTGCTTATCAGAACATTTTCTTCTATCAGATAATAAGGTCCAAGGATCTGACCTATCCTGACAATAAATAAATAAATAAATAATCCAAAATGGATTTTGGAATTCAGGGCAGAACTAATTATGCCCTGTAGTCTTAGTATGCCTTTTCCTCAAGCAGATTTATCACAACTGAGACAGTTTTGAAGAGTCTTATTTGTGGAGCTTTTCTCAGCTAGAGACAACTTCAAGAGGCCAAGTTATTTTGGTTGCCCGTCAGTGCCTTCAGGTGGCAAAGTTAATGACAGATGTGTTATGACTGGTCCATGTATAAAGGAAAGGAAAGGAGGGGAAAGGAAAAAGGAAAGGAAAGGACAGGAAAGGAAAAAGAAAGGTTTAGGTAGGCTTGGATACAATTTCCTATTCTGTATTTGATAGATATCAAGGGTTAAGATATGACTAGACCCTCCCGGGGTCAGATACACTGGGATGACTGCCAGCACAGGGAAGGGAAAAGAGGAGGCACAGCTACCCTCTTGGAGCAGGTGTCTGCTCCGTCCCAACCATAAGAGTAGCTGCTCTTATGATGACAATGTCCTCCTTACCCTGAATGAAGCATTCATTCCTAGATGCCTTCATTCCTTCCTAGATCCCTGTTTTCCATACATCTATTTTTCTGCATTTTTTGAAGGCAAGAGCCTTGTATCCTCATAGCCAGCAAGTCCTAAGTGCGGGTCCATCTGCACATTATTGTTCATTACCTGATAACTGAAGGAGCCTTAATTTTAGTTGCCCCAGCACTTTCTCCCTGGAGAGACTTTTCATGGTGCCTCAATAAAATACCCAAACAACTATCATCAGCTCCAAAGCCTGACTTAATACATAAAATTCAACCTGAATTTTTCATGTGAGTATGGTCTTCTACCTTCACATAGCAAAATATATCCTGAAGATTGGCTTGGCTTCATTATTTATTGAATGTACATGATGTATTTATCCGTCAAGTTATGAATAATTAGTTACTAGATAAATATAAATAGCTGTAGGATAAATTGCAACAACAACTGCTTAACAGCACCTGGCAGTCTAGAGCTGAGCGTTTGCAGTAGGGAACCCTGCTAGCCATTATGACTTCTTTAAATGAGATAGATAGCCTATTAATCTCAGTGGGGTTGCAGAGACATAACTTACCCAGGATTTTTGAATTTAGCACAAAAGCATGTAAAACTTGTGTTTACTGAACAATAATTTGAATAGATCGTGAAAGCAAGGCACAACTCAACAAATACATGAACCTTATTTAATTCCTTATCCATTAATATACAAAGTAAACAGCATTTTCTTCTTTACTTCAGCTGACATCCTATAAATTATTATCAGCTAATCTAAAGTCAATTATTTGCAATTACTGAAAATTAGAAAATCAAAGCATGAAATGTGGGCTTGATTTCTCACTTTAAAACAAACATATAGGATGGATTTATGAAAGGCCAAACAAAAAATGATGTAAACAACAATGATGTGACTGATTTTTGGACAATTTTGGCCATTACTGTAGGAGCCGCCGTGTTGCGGTTTAACTCCGATAGGCAGTTAAGCACCACCCAGCCGCTTGCTCATTCCTTCCCAGCAGGATGGCGGGGAGAATCAGAAGGGTAAAAGTGCAAAGATTCGTGGGTGGGGATAAAGACAGTTTAATAATTTTTTAAAAGGAGGGGGGAAAAAATAACGGAGAGAGAGGGGGAAGCTCCCTAAGCAAGGGCAGCCCCTGCCAACCTCCACCCCCATGCAGTTTTATTGCTGAGCACGATGCCATATGGTATGGGATATCCCTCTGCTCAGCTGGGTCAGCTGTCCTGGCTGTGTCCCCCACAACTTCTTGTGCACCCCCAGCTGACTCGGCAGGATGGTCTGAGGAGCAGAAAAAGCCTTGACGCTGTGTCAGCACTGCTCAGCAGTAACTAAAACATCCCTTTGTATCAACACTGTTTTCAGCACAAATGCAAAACATAGCCCCATACCAGCTACTATGAAGAAAATTAACTCTGTCCCGACCAAAACCAGTACACACAGAATGACCATGAAGGAATTCTTACCTTTTAATTGTACAAGATCATTAAAAAATAATAACCATAAGGTAAGTAATTAGTAATTTTTGAGTTTTGGTAGTAAGATAGTCATGCAGTCTGGAGAGCAGCAGAAGAGAGAGAATGGGAGCTAAGTACTAAACTACCTAGGCTACCTTGCATAGCAAATTGAAGAGAGGCTTTTGCCAAAAGTGATTCCCAGTACTGCAGTAAGCTCGGCCCTAAAGCGTTCCTGATAAAATCTCTCTCTTAAAATAGCTGGACAGCTGAGGGCATCTTGAGTGTTAAAAGCTGGATGTTTTAAATACCCCACAGTGCTACATTTAGCACTATTTAAAACCTTGTGAAAATAAATGTTTATACTTCTAAAACTGACCGAGCTAGCTGTTGTTGAATAACAGTGAATTCCCTTTCAAGGTTTCTATAAATGCAGCCATAGACAAGGATCCACTTCTAAATTGCAAAATTTGAAGCTAGGAAAAAAAAAGTGATGCATTCAAATGAGAAGTGGTGCAGCGCAAATACAAGTGGTGCAGTAAGAATGAGAGCTGATCATCAATTTCTTTAGGAAGTTTCAGACGAGATCATTATGGTGGCATTTCATCAGAATAAGTAAAAGAACTGTATTTCAGCTACATTGCTTTTAGACAACGTAAAAATTACCAAAATGAGAGTTTCACATTCAGTGGCTAACAGAGAAAACCTCACAGCAAAGAAGATAATCTACTGCAGGAGAACTTAATCCTTTCTTTTTTTGCTAGATATTCCACAAAAGGGGAGAGGTCGGAAGGGCTTTGCCATGGTTGAAAGGGGCAGTTATCATTCCCTTTCTGTTGTACATGGCAGAAAATGGAGTTCACAGACTAAAGGAAAACGCAGTTCTTCTGTAATCACAGTTTTCCTGATGTCATCACATCATTTTGTTGTCCTTCATGGGAATTCAATCCCCAGCGCACAGCCCTTAAAATCCTGTGGCTGACATGAGCTTTTAATGATTCCTTGATAGGAAATGTGAAGAGTGACTAGACTACTCAGGCTACAGGCTCTGATATAAATCAGGCAGAAGCACTGAAAAGAAATCTTATCACTTTAACAGATTTGTAAACATCTCCGGTTTCAGGAGTATTTTCTGTAAGCTGAAGTATAAGCATGGAAACCACAATATCTGGTTCCTGTCTTGGTAATACATTTATTGTCTTCTCGTTGGTAAACGATGTAAATTCAGGCCATCTGAATGTGTCTCAGCTAGAAAGATGTAAGCTATTACTTTGCACCTCACAAAAGCTTTCTAAGATGCAATAAATTCATATTTGCAAAGCAATTTGAAATTTTCACATGGAAAGTACAACCGTCATATTATATGTGTTGTAGCACATTGATATATTAAGAAAGTCTGATGAACCTTTATATTTTTTATATTTCTTTGTTAAATGGTGCTGCACCATAATTGTTACTTCAATCACTGAAAGAGAAAATGAATACGCATGCTAAAAGGAAAAGCATAACTAATGTATGTAAAATGTTTGTTCGTTAAATCTAATGAATCTCCCTGTATAAAAAGCACACTGAAAAGTACTACAGCTAAAAAATTTGTGACTGAAATCACTTATTTATGGGACTCCGTGTTGCACCCTGCAAAGGCATCTCTAAAGCATCTCGAGCTCCTAAGGCTAAACAGTAACGCTAGGAGAGACCTTTAATATATTTATGAACATAACCCAGTGCACATGTCCCAACCCATGGCTATTCTGCAGTGCAGGTAGAGCTCTTCCCCCAGCCTTCAGCCCGTCATGCTGGTGTTGCATCTGAAGAGCTCCACCTTGAAAATAACCTATTTTCTGCCTGTCCAAGGGGATTTTTAATTGCCATCCCTGTGGACTCAGCCCTAACCACATCGTTGGCCCTGGATGTGCCACCGAGGAGCCCGTGAGAGCCTGGCGGGTCGGAGCTGTTGAGCGTTTCCCCGCTGGCCGGCTCCTGGGGACCCCAGGCCAGCCCGGCGCCCTGCTCTCGGGTGGCTCACTGCAGCACGCCGGGCTGCCCGGGGCTGGTCAGCCGTGGTGCTCAGTGAAAGAGCCCTGACTGGACATTTACCCCCAGTTCAGTCTCTGGGGTCCCACCCAGGGTGTCGGAGTGTGGGGCTGCGGGCGTCCTTTCAGTGCTAACAGGAGGGAGGGGAAGGTAGGAATTCACCTGTGAGAAGCACTGTGCAGGTGATCCGGGCACTTCGCTCCCTACCACTAGAATAAGGTGCATTAACTGCAGAGCTGGAAAGGCTGTGTGCACCCAGGAAGGTGACAAACCAATGTGTTATTCTAAAATGCTCAATATATCACAAAATCAGGCAGCAGCCTCTCATGTGAGCTTTTTGACTCAGTGATGCACACACGCACAGCATTATCTTATTTTCTTTAAGAACAATTAAAAGATAATAAATACATGACATATAACATAAGCCAGATTCTAGCCGTGTTTGCTATTAGCTGTCATGAATTTCTTGGCTCGTTGTTGAGAAGATCTGTGAGTTTGAGGCTGTGAGTGCAAAGAAGCGTGGTGTTGAGTCATTCCTCATAGTCAGTTAATTATTAATCATGCCAGAGAGATCTGGCGGCTGCAGTGACCAGGCTGCTTCCCTCTATAAGTGTTCAGGGATTCTCAATCATTTCATGCCGACATTTAATGCCACAGAAATTGGGGGGGAGGCGGGGAGAAACGCTCCCTCTATTTTCTGAAAATATCAACTGAGTAATTATCAGATATGAAAATCCCTATTAATATATCAAAGTCAGTTTTTCAAGTTCTTCACTGTGTCTCCTTCTGTGCTTCAGCAGCCATTCAACTCCAGATGCTGCTCAGCATTTGGCTTTCAGAATCAGAAACCAATGCATGAAGATAGACCCAGACTCCCCCTTACGCATGTAACCAGCCACAAAAATTACAGAACCGGGATGCCATCCTAGAAATCCCATAAAAGCTTCTGTTTTCCGTATTATTGGTTGAGAGAGTCTTTCTTCACGCTTTCCCCTGGCTTTTAACTGTTGTAAAAAAGTCAGTAGATGCAAAGCGTCCTTCACTCATGAGCCACCTTCTACGCTGGGATGAGAGCCATATTCTACTCTGGAATGAAAGTCACCTTTACAAGCAATGAAGCTCACCTGAGAAATCTCAAATCTCTCCCAGCAATTTGATGCCTCCAGTCTCTGAAAAATCAGGTTGTGGACAGATTATGACCAATGATGACAAGTATTAAGTCTGATTATACCAGTAGACATGAAGAGGTAAAAAGGCTTTTAAAAGGCCTGGCAAGCATTCAGGAACTTAGCTGGGAGACAACATAAAAAACACTATCACATTCTGCTACTCTAAAAACCCAGAAGGCTCTGAGAAACCAGCTCACAACAGTTGCAATATTATGTTTTTTCTGAACCATTTCTTCCCCTTTAAAGAGGTTTTCACTGCAGGAGCAGCTGAGATGGATGCCCATGTTCCTGATCCACAAGGCGTAAGGACTGGCACAGTTGCAGCAATGCAAAAAGGAGGAGGCGCTTACATGCTGATCTGTCTAATCCCTTCTCCCAAATCATTGTTCTTATTAGCTGATGCATGCAAACAAATAAAAACTTCTGTCATTTGCATTTTAAATAGGAAGGCACTTATGATTTGCTCCACCTGCACAGATGCAATGCAGCCTTTCAGTGGTTATGATATTGGTATTCATAAGCAGCTGATTCCAATTAGCAGTTTTAGATAAACAGAATAATGGATATGATACAAGTGACACTCTTCCTTTTGTCTATTTACACAGAAAGCCAGACTTGCTCGAATTCGTGCAGCAAAGAGTGGGAGTGCTAATGCCTACATGCAGAGCAAACGAAATGGCTTACTGAGTAACCAGCTGCAGCAGGTAATGTTTTCATACCCTCCACCTCCAGAGAAACAGCTTAATGACAGCCCAACAGTAGCTTATTCTATTTATCACCAGGGCAAGTCAACTTGGGTCTTTAGGCAATGTTATCTTTAGAGGTAGATTAAGGAAGGATAAATTGGACAATTACTATTGTTAAAGGAAGCTTCTGAGAGTTGATGACGGGGTATTGAAAGATGAGGGAAATGGCCAGATAGAAATGCTGGATTCAAATGTAACTCACATTTTTGGAGTTAGATCCCGTAGAAGGCCTCATTAATAACGGACAGTGTCTGCCTCTTAGGAGGTAGGTGGGATTTATCTCATTTGGCTTTAGGCAGGTAGAACATGGGTGACAATACCAGGCTTCATCGTCAGTGAGGGAAAAAAAGAGGTAGCTCCGGGGGACCGTTTGCACAGAGGGATGTTGCAGAGTGAAAAGCGTTCCCTGGAAGCGCCTACTTTGCTCTAAGGAGAATCTTGGTGATTACCTCAAACCCATAAAAATCCAGTGTTACCTGAAGCAAATCCCCCCCTTACCCCTGCTGAGGAAGCCAGGACCAGCAGTGGGAGCCATGGGCAGCGGCTGGGACCGGGATCCGCAGCGACCCGCGCTGCAGAGGGATGTTGCAGAGTGAAAAGCGTTCCCTGGAAGCGCCTACTTTGCTCTAAGGAGAATCTTGGTGATTACCTCAAACCCATAAAAATCCAGTGTTACCTGAAGCAAATCCCCCCCTTACCCCTGCTGAGGAAGCCAGGACCAGCAGTGGGAGCCATGGGCAGCGGCTGGGACCGGGATCCGCAGCGACCCGCGCTGCCGGAGACAGCCCCTCGGCTGCTCGGAGCTGTAGCCAGCTGAGGAAGACTGAAGACACAGTGTTTTTTAATCCCTGCCATTTTCTGGCATTTGGGCAATTCCCTGAGGTATACAGGAAGGCTTTCATTCCTCTATGCCCTTTCTGTTCAATACATGTTAAAAAGCCGAACGCTTTAACCTATAGCCAGAAGAGGAGGAAGGGACTGTCCGTCCGTCCGGTCTAGCACAAAAGCCGAGCAGTCAGAGCCCTCGCTTCCTCTCCTGCTTGAAAGAACTCAGATCTTTGAACTAAAAAGACACCAAATAGCTTAATTGCCATGCAGATTTCAAATATCCCAAAGTTGAATTGTAATCTTGCCCATTATCCCACTTCCTCCCCTATTAAGTTTTCTGCTTTCTAGTGAATAATTTTGAAAGCAATTAATAAACAGTGGATGCTCTCTACTTAATTCTTCATTCTGTGTCAGTAACATCTGCTATATGCTTTCCAAACTCAGCAGATTGGGATCACTGACATGAATTTTTGTGTAAGCAGCAATACCACAAATTCCTTAGTGCTATGAAATGATCCCAGGAGGACAACTATGTTTAATTTCCTTCAAATGAGGCACATTCCCAGGAAAAAAAAATATTTTACTGTTATTTAAATTTATGATAATTTTAAGTATGCGTTGATTCAACATTCAAAGCTTACGTGTTGATTGCACTTGTAAATTGTACTATTCCATCCATGCATAAAAGACCTAAGATGGAAACATTTAAAAGGAGGTGCAAGGGAAGAAAAGAAAATATTTTCGTTAAAAAACAAACAAACAAAAGAAGAACTCAGGTCCAAAATTATTTGGGTTATGCTGTGTAGAAGAAGCACTGGAGTTATGCTACCGTGTACAATCCAGATTAGTTCTGATCAAATATTTGGATAAGAGCCCTCTTGTTCACAAATGGAATAATACAGAGTTCTATGTATTAACAGCCCTCCAGTGAAGAAGAACAGGCCTTTGTTAGCAAATCTGGCTCTTCCTTTGAAACGCAGCACCACCACCTGCTTCACTGCCTGGAAAAAACTACGGTAAGAAAGGAGAACTGTGTTTTCCTGTGAATTCCAACACCAGCCTAGTTTTGAATGTTTTCAGTAGTTCTTCTAATTAATAAGCCTTTATCTGAAAGCAGTTAACTGGGAAGAAAAGCCATTTTATCTTAATTTAAGGCTTTATACCCGCTGCATATAAATAACAGAGCGATCCTGGATGAGAGCCTCATCTAGGGTGAAAGATACTGGCATCAGCGAGATGACATCGGTATAGCCAAGCTGTATGTGTGACCTTCAGTATGGTTTTCATACACTCCGTAATGTTATCATTTGCACTCTTCTGCAGTACAGTTCATAAAACACGATTTGCAATCCTTACACATTCAATACTCTGTGCAGTCAAAGCAAGTTTTTGCCTGAGCAAACGTCGGGCTTCTGCACAAGGAGAGCTGCTGAGTGTTCCCTTAGATGTGAACGCAATTCTCACCCAAGTGACTGTAAAAGAGGATCCCCAAGCATCCTATTTTGAAACTTCAAGTGCTTAATCCAGAACCAGGTGCAAAGCTTTGAAGTCTTTTGGCTTCAGTTTAGACACTGAGATCCCTGTAGAAATCACTGATGTAATTTCTAACAGCCCAAATATGCTCATCTAGATTTGAAACTCCCTATAAATCAAAAGGACTACTTATTATGTGCTCTCTATATTTTTCCCTGGTCAATACCTGAATAATTACACAGCCATAAAGGATAGTAAACTACACCAGAGTTATGATTCCGTAATAACTAAGTGCCATGTTTACTAATAGCATATTTCTGGCCAGATAACATCACAGCAATAACCCTAATCATGCCTAAATTTACATCGTTTCCTCTTTTATCATTTCCTAAGGAAACTAAGAACATAAATATTAGTCATATTTAATTTAATATTTGTAGATTTGGGAATTTCACATAGGGCATGCTAAAATTATCTCCCTGTATTTTTATTTTTTTCGGGGGTTATATTGTCATGTAGAATTTACCTCATATTGTAGGTAAGTTGGTCAACACCCATTAAACTACCATTTACAAATTTACATCTAGTTCCATTTGCATGTAAAAAAATATATGATTTCTCTTCAAGTTTTGTATACATAGAGGATCTTTATGCTATTTTGTCTTATCTTTATAGTCTAGTTTTAGATTTGCATTAAAAGACCCAGTAGTGCTTCTGCTATATTTGATGGAGATCAATGTGAAAGTCTTTCTGCTCTTTCTCGGAAAAAAAAAAAAAGATATTAAAAAGTTTTCCCAGACGTTGCTAAACTAAAATATGATGTATGTATATGTATAATTTAATGTTCTCCTTCTGACAACATTTCTTTGTAAATAGAATGGCCCGGTTACATCACTTAGATAGTAATATGTCATCCCACAGGTGCTTATGTCTTCTCCATTCTTACTTTCGGAGTATTCATTTTTATATAATGTGCGGTAGGACAAAATGTCTTGGTTCCTATTCAGAGTATGATGTGGTTTCTTTGCCAAGATTCAGGCTGGGTCCTTTTGGAACATTTTTGAGACATTTTGTACTAGAACCTGATAATAGCAATCTGCCTTAAAAATTGTTCCACAGTTGAATATTAAACATATTTAAAAACACTAGCAGTAGCCACAGGTCTTGTCAAACTCTCATAGAAATCATGGAAAAAAATTTCTGTTCATTTGGTGGGAGTTGGATTCGGCTCCCAAAGTTTCACATTTCCTCTAATCATAATAGTGGAATATGTAAGCCTATTCTTTTTTTCTATTTTTAAACAGAGCTTTTCTTTAAAAAAGAGTAAGTCTATAAAGCAGGTATTATCTTGTTTCCTAAATTTGCACAGAATCTACTTTCTTCTTTCCTTGTTTGTTGGGTCCTGCTACTGGCACTGATGTTCATATGACACATGAACATAAAAATGTATGCAGGTGCTCCAAGTTGTATTCTGCAACTGTCTGGTCAGATCGTGCATTCCTAAAATTTTAGTGGGAACATGAAATTTTCGGCCCTCAGCTTGTGGAATCTGGCAAGTTGCTGGTTCATGGTATAACAGCAAGAGTGACGTGCCTTCTTAGCCTCGCCTCATCCTTTGAAATATCATTTGGTATAAGCATCAGTCCAGATGATACTAAGCAAAGGCATATTTTCTCTTTTCTGGCACTTTAAAGTCAATAGGGTAAGATCTCTTCCACTCTAAAAAATGAAGTGTGGGCAATGTTATGGAATTCTGTGAAAATTACATTAATAATGAAAATAATTGCACTGAAAGTTATATTTTACAGGCTACTTTTAGCTGATTTAAGAACAGTTAATTAATAAGTATAATCAAATATATTAACTTGAGCCATTATATCGTTTCAAAATGTTTCCAGTCTATATTAAAAGTTCTCTCAATAACCCTCTTTAATGGACCCTACAAATTGAACTGAGTTGAATTGAACTGAGTTGGTTGCTCCATAAAAGTTTTAGGAAGCACAAAATTACTTCTAATTGGAAAACTAGCAGAATTCTTGGCAAACATACTGCAAGCCACGGAACGTAATCTAAAAATGGCGATTTGGTAATTTTTCTCTCTGAATTTTATGCCCACTGTGTGATCACATTCAAAATCTTGATTGTGACTGACATACGCCTTATAGAAGTCAATTTTCAAGCAAGTTCGTTCTTTCCATATCACTTGAAATTGGCATTCTTTAGCACCACTCATTTCCACAAAAACTTATGTCTGAGTGAAGAAGAAAAGAAGAAATGGAAATAAAAATAATACTTTTATACCTATAAAGGTATTTCCATTTGTCGCAAACACTTGGTTACTGTACTTACTTTGCTCATATATTTTATATTAGCACTGTACTGTAATTCTCCTGGAAAACATCAGCACCTTTCCAATTAGCGCATCGTTCTTTAGGGGAGGAAATAATGTTTCTCTTTCTAACACACAAAGACGCAGCAGGCTAACAAACTTCAAGTGAACAAGACTGAGCAGAGCATAAAACAACCCAGAAAATGCTCCCTAAACCATTCTCAGGATATGCAGACTGATTCCAGCAGTAACTGGAAAGATTTTTTTTCAAAAGGAGGCTTTCTCAAACTGCGCATGAACATATCTTAATCTCTGCTTAGTTTGGGCTGCTACTTTAAAATGACTAAAAATTCCTCCCTCCCTCATAAGCAACGCCACTATTTCACACTCTTT